ATATGCCCAAACTTAATAGTACTTAAAGAACTTGAATGTTCCAGCTTGCCCTGATCTAGGCATCGTGACTTCTTGATATCCAAATATTTGTTGCATCCGATAACACTGATAAACACAGGATTTGTGACATGACAATTTTTGGGTTCATCTTATGTATTTTGAGATCCTTAAATCAAATCTAAAAACAGATTTTTTCTATCACCCACAGATATCCGGTAACATCTACTTTTATGAATTACCATCCGTAACATCTCATAGCTGCATTTCTCGACGTCTATGCGATGACGCACATATATAATGTTAAGACCTGTCTATTATATTCGAGCTCTACGTTTAGAGAGCATATTGCGTTTATTAGTAGACTAATAGCAGCCGAGTCAGTTACGTTTGCTGTGTTGAAGGGTACGATTGATGTCTTTTAAGTTTGGCATATAGAAACATAGTAGGGCGCGCGGATAGAACGTCAGTACTGAATCTTAACCTCACTCTTTAGTAAACTTAAATTCAAAGTTTCACAAGAATACGTGCAGTGTTCTCACTACAGTGAATTTTTAAGGGTCACCAAGTCATTAGAAAATGGAACTCAACCGAGAACATTTTCGCGCCATAATTTATTACAACCTTCAGAGACAACAAGAATGCCTTGCTGAGTTACTGTCTGTTTTCGGCAACGAAGTGCCACATCAGTCGACAATTTCCGTTGGTATGATGAATCAACCGTGGACGGGTGAGTCTTAGCGACGATCCCAGGGTGGGTGCACCAAAAACGGCAGTCACCCAGGAAAACGTCGATGCTGTGCGCAAACTCATCATTGAAGATAGACATGTGACAAATCGCGAGATTTAGGCGTCCTTGAAGATCTCAAAGACTCAATTCAAAAATTTGACATGAAGATTAGGAGTAAGAAAATGAGTTTCTCGTTGGATACCCCACCTGTTGACTGAAGATCGGAAAGCTGCCAGGGTTAATTGGTGTCAAAAAACGCATGACCGTTTCAATTCCGGAAACTCAAAAAATGTTGTACAGCATTGTTAGTGGTGATGAATCGTGGATTTACTGTTATGAACCAGCAAATAAACGACAGTCGGCTGTTTGGGTGTTCCAAGGTGATGAAAAGTCAACAAAAGTCATCCGTTCTCGAAGTGTTTCGAAAAAGATGGTCGCTACATTTGTGTCAAAAGCAGGTCATATTGCAACAATTCCTCTTAACGAGCAAAGAACTATTACTGCGAATTGGTATACCACCATTTGTTTGCCAAAAGTCATCATCGAACATCGAAAAATCAACCCCGAAAGAAGAATCATCCTCCACCGAGACAATGCAAGCTCGCACACAGCCCAAAAAACAAGGCAGTATTTAACGAAAGAACACGTGGAATTATTGGACCAACCTCCATATAGTCCCGATCTAAGTCCTAACGATTTCTTTACTTTCCCGAAAATTAAAAACAGACTGCGTGGCCAAAGGTACAAGTCACCAGAAGAAGCAGTTGACGCATTCAAAAATGCCGTTTTGGATCTGCCAGCAAGCGAGTGGAATAGTGCTTCGAAATTGGTTCGAGCGCATGCAGATGTGTATTAATCTTCCTGGAGAATACTTCGAAAAACAATAAAGTCATTCAAAACTACCTACCGTGTTGTTCTATTTCCGTATGCAAAACTTAAAAGACATCCCTTGTACTGAGATGTTCTGAGTATTGTTGATTTTTGTTAAAACGGCGAGTTGTTTTTAGTTGATTGTGATCGAGACTTGCTTCATGCCTAGAATGATGCCTAGAATGCCTAGAAATTGTGTAAATAGTGCGAACA